TTAGACGGGATTAATAACGGCTACTGAGATTTCTGGCCACTGAGGCTCTCTGCTCGCTCATGATGTAAAAGATAGGTAAGATACCATCGAGGTAAGATACCAGCGGGCCTAGCTCAGGTGATACGCCCAGGAACTGATGAAACGCAGACCCAAGCTCGAATCCAGATGCAATCGGATGAACAAAATAAAATAGCTGTGAATTACCTCGCGCCGCTGAGTTTAATGATATCTGAAGGCCGTCGCCCTTTTTTTTTTTTTTTTTTTTTTTGGTTACGAACTTATCTATAACCAAGTACACTGAACACAGCTCACATTGCGCACAAAAGAGGCGTTGTATTCTCATGGCACATGCAGCGTATACAGGACGTGTGCGTTCATGATGCAAAAGAGTGTTAGCGACGAACAAAGAAAATAAAAGGAGGGAAAAGAGAGGAAAAAGGAGGGGAAGAAGAGGAAATAAAAAGGGAAAAAAAGAGGGAAAAAAGGAGGACAAAAAGATGATCGAAAGAGGTATTTGGGAAATGTTTTTTTGAAAAAAAAGAAAAGAAAGAAAGAGGTATGTGGGGAATGTTTCCTTGTACAATATGTACGTCTGCATGAACGTTTGCGTTCATTTTTGGTTGTCTATGCTTTCGACCGTCGATCTATTCTACGGATTTATTCTTTGTTCTATCCTCTAGTCTATTTTTTGATCTATTCTACGGATCTATTCTACGGATTTATAATTCTATTCTTTGTTGAGTCTTTGCGAAGCGCAAGATTCGCGCTTGCTGTTTGCTGGGCTGGTACAGCCGCAGGATAGCCCCTGCTAAGTGGGGAGGTAGCGCTAGCCATTAGCTGGAAGCTGAGAGAGAGAGAGAGAGAGAGAGAGAGAGAGAGAGAGAGAGAGAGAGAGAGAGAGAGAGAGAGAGGTGGTTAGCTGGTAGAGAGAGAGAGAGGTGGTTAGCTGGTAGAGAGAGAGAGAGGTGGTTAGCTGGTTGAGTGCAAGTAACGACTTCTTTTCTGTGGTCCTCGCTTTTGGATTTGTCTATGCTACTGGCGGGAAAAGAGAGAGGAGGGGAGAGAACTGCTGCTTGAGACTGAAGTTTGGTGGAGGGGGATTGTCATCTTGGTGGTGGTGCAAAAAAAAATAACAAGAAAAAAAAAAAAAAAAAAAAAGTAGAAATAGAAAAAAAAAAGTCATGGTGGTTCTGCAATGTACCTTTTGTCGGTATCTGTCGTCGTTATGAGCGTCGCCTGACCTCTTCGAGCTGACGTCAACATAATTGCATTGGACACGTGGACACGTAGGGGTCGAGCAGAGACCCTCCCCCTCCCTCCCAAGCTCATCGCCTGACCTCTTCAAGCTGACGTCAACATAATTGATCAATTGTTGTCGTCGTCAACGTTTGGGTTGGATGTCCTGTCTTGGTTAGTAGCGGGTCTAGGAAAGGATTCAAGACTTCTATAGAGAGAAGGTTGAGTGATGGAGAGGAGGAGGGAGAAGGAGAGAATTAGGGGGGAGGTGGGAGGAGGGTTTGTATGAAATTGAACTACCGTCCTCACGCGAATGGAACGCCCGGTCGTTTTCTCACTGCATCTAGGCTGAAAGTCGCATCGCCCGCTCATTGTCACTGCATCTAGACTGAAAGTCGGGTCAAATGCAGCTATAATGACCGGGCTTTCTATTCGGGTGAAGACGGTAGTCACGGCAAGAGAGACGTTAGAAATAAAGGACAAAGTTAATGAAGACTATCACAGACTAGCTAGAACTGTAGATTCATCTCCTTTTCCCCATTTTCCATCAAACTAAACATCGAACATGGACGCGAAATCCTTAACACGAACCCTCCGGGCCGAGGGCCCACTAGCAAAGAGATGTGGATTGAATGCCTGAATCTGGACGTGTTTGTGGAGAGGTGCAAGAAATAGCGATTGACCCGTTTTTCTGCATCTCTGCGTTAAAAGACGTGGGACCTCGCCGCCGGAAATTGAGATGGCCGACTTTAAATTTTAAAAGGCAAAAAAAGCAAACTTGACATGGCAGAATCTCTTTTTCTTTTTGGCTTTCTTTTTCTTTTCTTTTTTTTCCTTTTCGTTTTCCTTTTCGTTTTCCTTTTCTTTTGCCTTTTCTTTTTTCTTTTCTTTTTCCTTTTCTGTTCTTTTTTCGTATCAGAACTGGAAAAAAATTGACCCTAAATAATGGCTCTGGACTGAGCAATCTCCAAGAATGAGTGTTCCCCCTTTAGCCGATTACACGGTCAAATTCGGATCCGAGCTGGGCCTCCAGACGAGAAGACCGCAGCCTGGAAATCCGCAAGGGGGATGGATAACGGTATTCCCCCGCTAGACCCTGCCTTCAAGTTAGAGATCCCTACCCTTGGGGGGGGGGGAGGGATATCCAGAGGAAAGGTAGAGATCCTTCCCTGGGGGATAGTCCAAGACTCTGAAAGAAAGAATGTTCCCCCTTAGCCGATTACACGGTCAAATTCGGATCCGAGCTGGGCTTCCAGACGAGAAGAGCGCACCGTGGAAATCAGCAAGCGATGGAGAACGACGCTCAACCTTGCCCCTGCCCGTTAAGGTAGAGGTGCCTTGGAGATGGTGCCAGACGAAAGGTAGGCTTGACTAATAGCAGGATAATGGTAACGGATATTGGCAGTGGGAGGTAGGTGAAGAGGGAATCTTCTTGCCTCTCTCCCAGAACCAGGTCGCTTCCGCTGCAATAGGGGCACATTGCACAGGTTTAATTGCAGAGAGAGAGAGAGAGAGAGAGAGAGAGAGAGAGAGAGAGAGAGAGAGAGAGAGAGAGAGCAGTGTTTCCTGTTCATGCAGCCTGTTGTTCACCGGCAGAGACACATACATAGGGATAACGCACTGGGAATCTGAGGTTGGTCCCTCCCAAGGAATCTCTATCTTAAAGGCAGCGTCTAGGTTCGTCGTAGATCTCCATCTCTTGCTGATATTTCAGCCTGCGGTCCTCCAGATTTTGTCTAATCATCTGGAAAGTATCCAAAGCCGTCTCTACCTCTCATCTGACGTGTGAGCATACAATTGACAAAGAACGCTCCCCCCCACAGAGCTAGCGAGCCACAAGAGAGAGAGAGAGAGAGAGAGAGAGAGAGAGAGAGAGAGAGAGAGAGAGAGAGAGAGAGAGAGAGAGAGAGAGAGCTTGGTAGGCCATGATCAGGATGCTAGAAACCAAGATCGGACGGAGATGGAATGCTATCGAATCTCTGCAAAGCTCAAGCCTGCCAATGCCAAGTTCAGATCCAAGCTTGGCCCGCACTGAATGAGACTGCGAAGTCATCAATCAGACAGAGGACACCCTCCGTAGACTACTACTTGATTAATCACGACATATCTATCTATCTATCTATCTATCTATATCGTCAAACAGAACTGTCCGGTAAACCGGAATATATATATCTGTTTGACGATATGTATATCATAATATATATATTTTTGAGAACCCTCGACAGTGTCTATTCCATCTGTTGTGGGTGAGTGATAGTCTGCTTTGATTTGATTTTCGTTACCTTGAGGGCGGTGGTTGGTGGTCCCCACTACCTCAGGGTATCAGTTGTGGGGCAGTCGTTGATGCTAACCACAACCGGGGTTAAGGTGGATTATCACTTACAGTGTAATCAGTAAGGGGATTCTGCAGACTGTTGAGGGTTCAGCCTCCTGATGAGTGGGTGGATCTCCGACGAAACAATTTGTCACAGGCCCTCGTTTGAAGTCCTCTTCTCCCTCTCTGCCGATGTTTCACCGGGCAGTTCTGTTTGGTGATATATAGATATATGAAGGCTAATTCTTTTAAGCCCAACCAATTCAAGTACCTGTCAAGTCTGTACAGGACAGCCTTTCAGGCCTTTTTATTATCGTGATAGTATTACCGGGAACCTGGTAGCAGCCAGTTGGAGTTCAAGCCTCCACCGAGGAAACATGCCGGGGCTGCACCCAACCTGCAGGTGGGCAATACCGGCCAGGCGTCATCAGGACTGAGCTTCTTTGATGGGCCAGTCGCTGTGCCTCCCCTCCGGTCCCCTCCCCGTTATGAACATCAGCAGTCTCTCCTCAGTGCCGCTTGGAGGCACCAACGGCCTATCTCTAGGTGGCGGGCGCCAAACATGCCCAGGAGGAAGGGTTACATGAGCCAATGGGGATTGAACCCAAGACCTCCTGAATGCCACTTGCGTGCTTTTTTTGACACTTACTTGCATGCGCAATCGCAACGCAGTCTATAGAGCAAGGGCTGTGTGACAGGAAATCCTCTGATATGAGAGCAATCAATGCTGTTCAGGGACACAAGTGGTTAAGAGGGGCCGCCACTTTTCAGACCATAGGTGAACATCCTGAAAAACTGTGAAGGGCTGTGCTACCAGCGAGGCTCGGGATCACTTGCACAACTGGGCCCAAAAAAAAAGAAAGAAGTTTTTATTTTTATTTTTTTATTTCTTTAATTCATTCTTATAAAAGGGCTACGACATTGAGATATCATCATTTGAACTTACCGGCCCTAGGTAGGTAATTGAGAATTGCAATATGGTATTCATCTGCTTCCATTAGAGTTTGAACTCATTTCTGTATTTCAACAGTTCAGTGGTGTACCAACCGAGCTAAGGCCACCTGGTAATTTTTTTTATTTTTTATTTTGGGTAGTTTTTAATTTGGTAAAGAATTTCGATGTGACCCTGAGACGAAAGTTGTCCACTTTATTTCTCTTTATATCTTTTTTTTTTTTTTTTTTTTTTTTTTTTTTGCAAGGACCTTCCTTGGGCCTTGCCTGGTCGGGCCACCCAGGCAACAGAGGTGATAGGGGCGGCCCGGTCGGGAGTCCAGGTAAAGGGTGAATTTTGCATGAAAGTTAAAAACTTATATTATATTTTGTCATTTTATTTTGGAGATTCCAGGAAAAGGGTGAATTTTGCATGAAAAGTTAAAAACATATTATACTTTATCATTTATTTTGGAGATTTAGACCTCAGGCCATAGTCATATTAGGCCTTTATGAGGTGTGCCTCCCCACCAATACAAGCACAGTGAATGTGAATGGCTGGCAGCTGCAGAGAATCCAACAGTTGTGTGCTATCTGCCACCAATACAAGCACAGTGAATGTGAATGGCTGGCAGCTGCAGAGAATCCAACAGTTGTGTGCTATCTGCAATAGAGAATTTCTTACTATATTTCTTTGATGGTTGGTTGGCTGTGTCCATCTATACTGAGTGTACAGGTCGAGAATGTTAAGGCAATTATAGAGGTCGAGGTAAGTTATTTATCCTGTTTCCCCCCCCTTCTACATGCATTCTTCCTCTTCTCTTCGTCTTCATCTTGACCTATAGATGATCTTCACCTTTCGTGTGTTCATCCTCCTCTGTGCCTGCAAATAATTGCAAATTCGTTCGTGTAGCTTATTGAACTTTATTCTTGTGTAACATTGCACTGCTTCTTCTTCTTCTTCTTCTTCTTCTTCTTCTTCTTCGTCCTCGTCTTCGTCTTTGTCTTTCTTGTTTTTTTCTTCATTGCTTTTTCCTTTCTCCTTTCTCCTTTGTTGTTGTTGTTGTTGTTGTTGTTGTTGTTGTTGTTGTTGTTGTTGTTGTTGTTGTTGTTCTTCTTCTTCTTCTTCTTCTTCTTCTTCTTCTTCTTCTTCTTCTTCTTCTTCTTCTTCTTCTTCTTCTTCTTCTTCTTCTTCTTCTTCTTCTTNTCTTCTTCTTCTTCTTCTTCTTCTTCTTCTTCTTCTTCTTCTTCTTCTTCTTCTTCTTCTTCTTCTTCTTCTTCTTCTTCTTCTTCTTCTTCTTCGTCGTCGTCGTCGTCGTCGTCGTCGTCGTCGTCTTTTCCTTCTTCATTTCTTCTTCTTCTTCTTCTTCTTCTTCTTCTTCTTCTTGTTCTTCTTCTTCTTCTTCTTCTTCGTCGTCGTCGTCGTCGTCGTCGCCGTCTTTTCCTTCTTCATTTCTTCTTCTTCTTCTTCTTCTTCTGCTGCTGCTGCTGCTGCTGCTGCTGCTGCTGCTGCTGCTGCTGCTTCTTCTTCATTGCTTCTTCTTCTTCTTCTTCTTCTTCTTCTTCTTCTTCTTCTTCTTCTTCTTCTTCTTCTTCTTCATTGCTTCTTCTTCTATTACTTTCCTCTTCTTCTTCTTCTTCTTGACCTGTAGCTGACCTTCTGGATTGTTTCCCCCTCCTCTCCATCTGTAAACACTTACTGATTTATTTGATCTGCTCGGTTGTTTCTTTGTGTGACATTTCACTTGCCTTGCCTTTTCGGAGCAGATACAGGTACCAATTGCCAATCAGAGGCTGTTTTTGAATGGAAGGGCGCTGTCGAATGCCTCTCATCTGAATCAGGCTGGAGTCGGCGAGGGGGACCTCCTCCTCCTACAAACGATTGAATCTGGGTAAGTAAGAGTCTCCCTGCTGTCAGCTGTGTATTGTCTGCTGTGCTGCTTGATTGCTCTCTCCTCCTGAGCACTACTACTACTACACACCCCCTCTCTCTGCCCATCCTATTCTTCTCTTGCCCTCCTCTGTGTCCTATTCTTCTTCTTTCTCCTTCCCCCCGCCTCTCCAGATCCCATGTCAATCTTTGTGGGCTTCTCTTTCCTTCTTCTGCTTTCCTGTCGATTGGTCTTTTCTGCTTTCTATTTTCCCCGTCCTTGTTCCACCTCCTTTCCCCTTCTTCCTTCTTTTCTGCTCTCTCTTTTTGTACTCCCTTGGTTCCTCTTTCCTCCTCCTGTTCCCTTTGTTCCCTCATTTCTTTGCTCCTCCCCCTTCCCTTACTCTGAGGGGGAGAGAAGGAGGCTGTCAATTATCCCTGTATCTTTTCACAGTCTCTCTATCTGGATGTCTACTAGAGGAGGGATTGAGGCATTTCAAAGGGTACCTGTCGCCATGATACTTGCAGATCCAGAGGGGTGCTGAGGACGGAGCGGATGCTATTTAATGGAACATCAATTATCAGTGATCAATTATTAAATGATAAAATGAGCAAATGATCAATGATCAATAATTAATTAGCAATGATCAATGATTAATTAGCAATGATCAGTGATTAATAATTTATCATCTATGAAAAAAGTTTGATTGATGGCCACTGTTGGCCTGAAAAGTGAGGGTTTGGCAAGTTTGCCTCCTGTGCTCTGTTGATAGAAGGACCAGGCCGTGCTGGCGGGTGCTATTTTTCATGCGAGGAAGCCTCGAACCTGGCCATTGTTACGGTCAGGTTCATGCTTTTTTTAAGCACGACCATTGCACCTGTTTGGGCCTGCCTGTGCCTAATACAAGCTTGGCTAACAGCCATGCTTGCTAAAGGGTCATTACAGTTGTAGGCCCTCAAGTAGTTTGGCCCCATATGCACCTCACCCAGCCCACACTGAATTTTGATAAATTACTCAGTTGCGGCTGTGGAGTCCGCAACGAACTTACCCTTCAGGAGCTGAAAGTGGGGTCCCCCGTTAACCACTTGTGCAAGTACTGTGCTTCAGTTTGGGCTTGGACTAACGCTAATTGGCCAACCCTTTGATGTCTTTCTTTGTGCGCTAAATACTCGTGCTTTTTCTTCGTTGTTTCAGTGGACTGTCTCGCTCGCAGGGTACAAATGTTATACGGAAGGATTGCGACAATTCGGATAGAAAAAGCTTATGATATCACTTTCTGTAGTTTGACTGTGCCATTGCCATTGTGGTTGCGTGTGGATATTGTCGTAATCCCTATTTGTTCACGCAGCAGTAGCCGACCCCAGCGCAGTGGTGGAGGCGACCCAAACCTTGCAATGAATCCAGACGGATCTGCTGCTAACCCGTTGGCACTGCAAAGGCATCTTCGCCAGGATCAGAACTTGATGAGACGTCTCCTAGAGGTACAATCATCCCTCTGAACTTCTGCCTGCAATCCATCAAATCAAGGCCTGGTTTCCCAATCACAATCATCTCTCTCTCTCTCTCTCTCTCTCTCTCTCTCTCTCTCTCTCTCTCTCTCTCTCTCTCTCTCTCTCTCAATTTGCCCAGACTCGGACATTGTATTCTGGACAGAGACTTTGGGGGGATTATTGTGGACACTGTTCTTTTGCAGGGCTATCGAGTGCGGTCTTCCCCCTTCTTCTCCCCTCTTTGTCTCTTCCTCCCTCCTTCATCTATGGATGCATTTAGGCCATGACAGCTGTCTTCTGTGTATGAGCTGCCATGCCCATTTCTGTGTAGGCCTAGTGATGGATGGATTTGTGCAGTCCTGAGTCTGATGAGTCAGATCTTTGTATTCCGGTCTTCCGCAGCATTGTATTGTTGTAGTTTCTTCATGGTGATCCTTGGTTTTTGCCCCATGCCGATCTGCTACTCGTAGGTATGCGAGACTTTCTGTCTCTCTGTCTCTCTATCTCTCTGTCTCTCTCTGTCTCTCTCTGTCTCTTTCTGTCTCTCTGTCTCTCCGTCTGTCTGTCTCTCTCTTGCGCGGCGAGAATCGATGTGATGTTGTAGATGACGGACATGCATGCCTTTTGGTAGGGGAGATGGTGCTGTGCACTTCTTAACTTTTGTGGTGACTCCTGCGAGCTTTCTTGTAAGACATTCAGCTTGTTGATTTGTCGTACCATCATTGCCAGAATGCCCTCTGTCAAGGAAGCTCGATTTTGAAAAGAAAACACAAAAAACTTGAAAAACTTGAAAACAGTCTGAGTGAGGACGCCGCCCGGCCGGTTGGCCCGGGGGGGCCGCTGGGGTAAACCGGGGGGGCCAAAAAACCGCCCATATATATATATATGCAGGTGCGCTGAAAAGAGTGTACAAGAATGTGCAAAGGTGGGGAACCCTTCACTAAAACTGCAAAACTGTGAAGAATGCAGTAAAAGAAGAACATAAGTTTGTGTCATCTTACTTTGTTTGTACTCTGCACCCTAACACCCTCAAAAGAAAAGTCTGAAGGGTGAAAATGAAGTTGAAAAATGAAGAAGGAAGTGCAGGTGCGCTGAAAAGCGAACGTGGTAGACTCTTCACCAAAACTGCAAAACTGTGAAAGAAAGAAGAATGCAGTGAAAGAAAGGTGTTTGGGTCACTTTTTTTTGTTTTTTCTCCCTCTGCCTATCGGTTTTCCTTTTCTGCTCCTCTCTTCCTTGTGTTTAACACCTCTTCCCTCACTCTGCCTCTTTCCCATAGCGTGCGAGTGGGCTGTTATGGCATACGGGGATGGGGGCAGCTCGCGCTCAACTTCATCAACGTGGCGAGCCTTGTACGTTAGAGGCATAGTGGAGGAGGCGTTAAGAAGACTGAGAAACTGAATGATTTCAATGTGTCTTTGTTTTTTATTTTAATTCTTTGATTGAGTGTAATTTTTTTTTTTTTGGTAAAACACTGAAAGAAATAAAACAAAGAATAAGAGGACACTGTTTTGTGTCATTCTGGTTTGTCTGTCTCTTTGCCTTTCTGTCCTTTCATTTTTCTTTTCTTCGCTCATCTTATTTCTTCTTCTACTTCACGTGCTTACGCTCTTAGTCAATAGTTCTGTGACAAT